TCCACCCATCCCTCTATCCATCCATCCATCCACCCATCCATCCATCCATCCATCCCTCTATCCATCCATCCATCCCTCTATCCATCCATCCATCCACCCCATCCCTCTATCCATCCATCCATCCAGCCATCCCTCTATCCATCCCTCTATCCATCCATCCCTCCATCCATCCATCCATCCATCCATCCATCCATCCATCCATCCCTCCATCCATCCATCCTTCTATCCATCCATCCATCCATCCCTCCATCTATCCATCCATCCCTCCCTCTATCCATCCATCCATCCATCCCTCCATCCATCCATCCATCCATCCATCCCTCCATCTATCCATCCATCCCTCCCTCTATCCATCCATCCATCCATCCCTCCATCCATCCATCCATCCATCCATCCATCCATCCCTCTATCCATCCATCCATCCATCCATCCACCCATCCCTCTATCCATCCATCCATCCATCCCTCCATCCATCCCTCCCTCCCTCCCTCCATCCATCCATCCATCCATCCATCCCTCTATCCATCCATCCATCCATCCATCCATCCATCCACCCATCCCTCTATCTATCTATCTATCCATCCATCATCCCTCCATCCACCCATCCCTCCCTCCATCGGCAGCTTAACTGACTTGGACGAGAGCGGGGTGTTCAGGCCACTCCTCCAGTCTGTGCCCCACAGCCACACTCAGCTGCTCCAGAACCGGGACACAGAGCCGGGCCTGGCTCATGTTGGGCTGATGGTAGAAGTCATAAGGTCCATCTGAGCTGATGGCCAGCTCATCGCACTCGCTGGAGCTCTGCACGGTGTTCTGGAGGATGGCAGAGAGCAACAGGCCGCTGCCTGTCAGCTGCTGGTCCACATCAGAATCTGGACAGGAAACCGGACCAGAACTTAAAACACACACAACTGATCATTTAATGTTTACAAAGTGAAGAAGTCAGAGCTACGAACCAATCAGACGATAGATGGATGACATCATCGGGCAAGCGATTTGATAGGACAAGAGCAGGGCTTGGATGTGTCCTTTACTTTGATTTGCTGGTGCTGTGTTCTGGTACCACAGGGACCGGGCATAGCCCAGGCACATGAGCTGATGGACCTGGACCACGGTGTTCATAGCAGACCAGGACAAACAGCCCACCTCAGCCGCCCCGTGAGGGCTGTCTTCATTAAGGTTCTGCTCAGTGTCTGCTGGACCTTCCAAACTCATCTGGGTCTGTAAATCTGCAAAGTCCTGGAAAAGTCCAGATTCAGTCAGGAGCTCAAGTCACAATTTAGGAAAAGTCCACCAGTAGCATCTCTGGGTTATTCCCGCCTTTAGCCTAAGCAGGCTGGGGTTAGGGTTAGCCTTCAGTGATGCGGGGGTGCTCTGCCAGCGACTACATCACCACGCTGTAGCGCAGCATGTTAGCAGAGAATGCATTCTTCCATCAGTGCTGCTCTACAGCTGGGCGAGTTATGATGTTCCGTACGCCCATGTAGCCCGACACCACCCTATAAACCACAGAGACGGCTAAACGCAGCCTTGGCCAATCAGAGAGCTCCATTTTCCCTCCTCTGGGAGGGGCATTGCTGTCCTAATCAACAATGGAGGTACGGAAACCCTTTAGAGCTAAGATCCCACGCTGACACACCCCACCAGCTTCTAGCGGAGCAGAACACAAACGTGACCCACCGAGACCCCACAGACCAGACGACGATGAAAACCATCCTGCAGAGGGTCTAGCTGAAGCTTTACAGACCCCCTGGTCTCAGACCTGTACCTTGTTGAAATGAGGGAAGTGGAGCCTGAAGTCCTTCTCCTCCTGCTCATCCTCGGTCAGACCTGAACCATGAAGTCTGCTGCGATACAGAGAAGCCTCCACCAGCTCCCGCTCCCGCTCCCGTCTCTCCTGTTCATCCCACTCATTCACCAGAGCCTGAGGAGCAGAAGCAGAGACTTCACCACCAGAAGAAACACCACTAAGACCTGAGAAGACTCTGAGAGACCCCGACCTGACAGATGTGTCTGAAGAGACTGCACGCTTCTGGACTTAACACACCAGTGGACAGGCTGTTGCTCTGCACATACAGCAGAGCGTTCACTAGCAAAGTGGAGGTCTGGGGGATCACACGACCAGAGTCCTGTTTTGGTAGAAGCTCCACCAGACTCAGAATATCCATACACGTCCTTGAGCACAGAAAGTCAGCCCGGGCGAGGTAGGACGGGAGGCTGGGGGACACAGAGGGGAAGGCCAGCAGGCAGGACGCTAGCTGGGACAGACCTGGGACTGGGGTCAGAGAGGCCACCACCTGGGAGGACACCAGCTTCATGCCATGCTGCAGCTGGAGGATACCGGTTCTGATTGGGCTGACAACATCTGGGTACAGTGGGTAGTCCTCCAAAAGCTTCTGACAGAAGCGCTGCTGGGAGTTCTGCCACACGGCCTCCTCCTTCAGGAGGGCCCGGACTGCTGCCTTGGACCTGGCAGAGGAGGAGTCCTGCAGGACCTTCAGCATGTGGGACAGCAGCTCCTTGATGGTGGACACCTGTCCAATGCTGCCAAGATAATGCTGCAGGTCCTGAAAGAGCCGTCCATACTGGGACTCACGAGGCCGGAAGGCCTGCTTCCTGGAGAGCTCCTGTATCTGCTCCGTCAGCTGTTGCATACGGCTCCACAGGTACCTAAACACACACACACACACACATGCACATGCACACACACACACACACACACGCACACACACACACATGCACACACACACACACACACACACACACACACAGCTCAGAACACTCAGAGCAGAATGTAGGTACTAGATTCACTAGAATTAACAGTTTTAAAACACGTAACTAATCTGAGATCGATAAAGTTCCTTTTCGGTTGATTCACTCGGTACGACGAAGGCACGACGGGACATCACGCTCTCGTGTGCCCTCGCTAACACATCTACTCATAAAGGCTAATGAGCATGACGCTGCGTGGAGGCCCAGTCCTCCACTTATTAGCAACAGCTTCACCATCATTTCTCAGTTCTTACGCTCTTAACCTCGCTATTGAAAAGCTAGCTTAACTGGGTGGCGTGCTTGTGCATGAGCAGTGAGTAGACGCGTCGTCCACAGCTCCCGCTAAAACGTGTTAAGTTTATTTGTTTTAGACATCATAACCTTTCGAACTCCAGTGGTGGAAGTGACTTTACTACCTCATAAATAGACAAACGTCTCCAAAACTTCCCAAACGACAGAGTGTGCGAGCCCCACCGCGGGACAGATCGGACTCCTTGGCTAGCACAGAAACAGATACTAATGCTAACGGCATGGAGGCGCTAGAAAACTCAGTAACTGCGATGCAAGCCTCCATCCACCCGTTTCAAGAGTAGAACAGAGCATCTACTGCCTCTCTACACTCTATTCTAAACGTGTGGGGCAAACGAATAATAGGTGTGGAAGAAGGACTGAGTAGCTTGATTCTAGCGGCTCGGAGTAATTCACATCTCATCCCAGGTAAAAATGACTTAAATTATGAGTTGGAATGCGAAGGGTCTAAATCGAGCAACTAAGAGGAAGAGGGCACCCTCTCACTTACGATATCTTGGTGCTGCTATTGCTTTTCTACAGGAGATCCACCTTCACCCGGGAGCCCCTTCTCCCGGTCTCATCGTTTTGGTCAATCGCGTTGAGAGACCAACTGACCAGGTCCATTTTAGTAATTTCAGTTTCCAGTTTTCCAGAAAACATGCGGAAGCGCCGTCCACCCAGAGACAGACCAAGGGCCTTGGGATACGATAGGGAGGAGAGGAAGAAAAAAGCGTCCGTGCTCTCCAAGAGCCGGAAGAACGCAATCCCAAGACTTTTGATCGTTTCTTCTTTTATTTGGAATAATAAATCAGCTCGTATAAGAAAATAATTTATGGAAAGACCAAAGGATGTGGGTGGGTTTCACTCCCGAACATGGGTACAGAACACTGGTCTGAAATGTTAATGCCATTTCTCTGTGGTTACAAGACTGGGATGAAAAGATCCTTGCATGGCTTCAGATTGAGAAGAGCTACAAGCGCCCCACACCCACTCCCTGCATTACTCTGCACACCTCTACCATCACTAGTTAATAATATTAAGAATTATATTATCGTAACTCAATCGCCACGTATTTTAAATCAGTTTAAGATATTTCTGGGTTTTCTGAGTATTTCTGTTCACTCACCTTTAATACATAATCATCTTTTCCAACCATTCCTAATGAATAATGGCTTCAAAGTTTGGTATGACAAGGACACTCACAGCACTGAAGATTTATATATAAATGATACTTCTGCTAGCTTTGAACAGCTACCTGTTAAAATTTGTTCGGACTAATAATCACTATTTGCTATACTTGCAAATTAGAGATTTTTCTTGTAAAAAACTTGCTAATGTTCCAATTTTCCCATCTTCTTGTTTAGATTCTTTATTAGTTTATTTCTTGTATTTTTTCTGCTTCCGGGTCAGTAACAAGATGGCGCCTGTGCTTGGTTTAGCTGCAGTCAATGGACAATTCTTCAAACTTTTCTCTACTAATCTTCTCTTGCTTCCGTCTGTCTAAAAACATGGATTTTCTGTTTCTGACTGAAGTTTGGCAGCAAACATCTGATTATTCTGCTCTGATTGAACTCTGCCCGAGTGTTTATTCTTTTCTTAGCCAGCCCCGGGGTTCTGGTCGTGGTGGAGGCCTAGCTGTTGTTTTCAGACACCATCTTCCATGTAGCTCTACAACCTCTGGTCACTTTGCTTCCTTTGAACTGCAGCTGATTAAAGTCGGGCGTAAGGACCCGTTCTACTGTGCTGTGGTCTATCGTCCACCTGGTCCAAACAGTTCTTTCCTTCAGGAGTTTAGTGACTTTCTATCCTCCACTGTGACGCTGTCCAGACTGGTGATTGTTGGTGACTTTAACATCCACGTTGATGATCCCTCTGATCACTTTGCCATGAATTTCTCCAGCCTTATGGACTCCTTCAGCTTCACCCAGCATGTTTCTGGCCCCACACACACCAGGGGACACACTCTAGACCTTGTTTTTCCCCTGAGTCTAAATGCTGACAGTGTTTGTCCTGAGGACGTTTATATTTCAGATCACCATTGCATTTTCTTTTACTTGTCAGTTTCTGCGTCCCCACCTCCTGCTCGCCGTCTGGTTAGTTCTCGTTTTCTTAATGAGAGCACAGCTAGCAATTTTTCTGCTGCTTTTGATCCACCCTGTTCTTCTGATAACGACCCAGATTCCTTAACTTCTCAGTTTAACGAGCACTGCCTCTCCATTCTGGACAACATCTGTCCTGTCAGAACCAGATCAGTTCCTGCAGTGAACCCTACTCCCTGGTTTAATGACAGCCTTCGCAGCCTGAAGCGCCAATGCAGAAAAATTGAGCGTTTGTGGAAGAAAACCCATCTCCACGTCCATCTGCTGCACCTAAAGGATCTTCTGACATCCTTTAACTCTGCAGTCAGAGACGCTAGGGTTTCCTATTTCTCCAACCTGGTGTCCCAGAGCAAAGGGAACCCCAAGGTGCTGTTTAACACCATCAGCAGCATCGTCTCTCCTGCCTCTCCTACAGCCTCCATCCACTCTGTTGCAGACTGTGAGAACTTTCTGTCTTTCTTTGTGGACAAAGTCAATAAGGTTAGATCTAGCATCTCTCCTTCAGCCTTATCGCCGCCTCTCCCGACTCCAACCAGGCCCATCATCCTAGATAGCTTTGCTCCTGTTTCTTTGCCTGAGTTAACCAAACTAGTTAACTCTATGAAGACCTCTGCATGCCCCCTCCACATCTTACCCTCATCTTTGTTTAAAAGTGCTTTTCAGTCCATCGGTCCCTGATGGAGAGGAGCAAGGTACAATGCAAGGCTGCCCCCTTCACAGCCTAGCTCAGTGACGTAATGAACAGAGGTGACAGTGCAAGTGAGGGGTGGGGCCTCCACACAGCGTCATGCTCATTTGCCTTTATAGGCGTGATTACATGCGTCTTTAGCCAGGCCACAGCAGGGCGTGATGATAGTACCTTTGTTCTACCTTGTTCTCTGCTTTAGGGAACAGTGGTTATATGCATAACCTAACGTTTTTACAGGGTTTATAAAACAGACTGTGGACTTTAGCACATCTGATTTTATGAATAATTAAACAAAATGTGTGTTCTGTGTCGATAGACTGTCTCCCTACACTGTGATCAGGACAAGCACCAACAGCATGGACATCAAGAGGTTGTCTGTTCTTCCTATGAGATCTTACCTGAAGCTCCGAGGCCTCAGTGTGGGGTACCTGCTTTCTGAGGGCCCAGTGTCGGGTACTTACCTGATTCGAGGATGCTGGAAAGAATCTGCCATCTTCAGCTCCAACCCAGTCAGCAACAGAGAAGACATGTTACGGGCTTTCCACTCCTCCTTCAGCAGAGCCAGCTGGAACGGACCACATAAAAATGCTTCTGAGATGCAACGTTATAAGAAACAGCTCGCTCAGCACTGAGGTCGGGCATGACACAGATGAACTAGTCCTCTGGTTTAACTCTCATTTACGAGTCTTAAAACAAAACTCTAGGAAATTGGAGAGAACATGGCGCTCTACGCACCAGGAGGAGGCCTACCTGTCCTGGAAAAATAGTCTTGTGCTTTATAAAAATAAGCTTCAACAAACTAGAACTGCTTATTTTTCAGCATTAATTGAGGAGAATAAGCATAATCCTACATTTCTTTTCAGTACAGTTGCTAAACTTACACAGAATCATAGCTCTGAGCCATCTATTCCCTTAGCCCTCAGCAGCAATGACTTCATGGAATTTTTTACAAGTAAAATTAATTCTATTAGAAATAAAATCTTTAGCATCCTCCCTAATGTGATTTCTTCTTCCTCAGTAAGTGAGGCAGCATCAGAGGTAACTGTGGAACCTCATCTGTGCTTGAACTGTTTTGATCCAGTTGAGCTTTCAGAGTTATCAAAAATATTAGCTTCATCTAAACCACATATGTCAGAGTCATTTTTATGTGGCCCGCGACATAAATATAAAAAATATATTAAAACTGGCCCGCTGGCAGATTTTACCGCAAAGACTACAACTCCCATGATGCTTTGAGGCGCCAGCGCAGAGCAGACGCGCCCCCTCCTTTGTGTTTTTTCAGCGCCGAGGCAGTCAGAGGTAGTTGGGTGTCTGCAGCTCCGCTGTCTCGGACAAACTACACTCCTCTCACTCAGCGCCGACTTCACTCAGCTGTTTTCTGACGTTGAAGCCCAGAAACGGAGATTCTAGCCGCTCAGTAACGTGTTCACGACTGAAAGAGAAAGTTTTCAAACTAACTTCCAGACAGAGCTGATATAACTCCAGCGCTCAAACCAGCATGACTCTGTGGCTGCTGTCGTGTTTCCTCCCCGACACACAACAACGTGGTCAAGCTGCTCAGACATGTTCAGCAGCACAAACCTATGTGAGCACCTGTTGTCATCTAATGTTGTCGTTATTATGATGAAGATGAACAAAACAACAGGAGTCTCCTCCTCAGCTCAGATCAACCCCATGATGCACACACACACACGCACACGCGCATCCACACACACACACACACACACACATGCGCACATGCGCACACACACACACACACGCACACGCATCCACACACACACACACACGCACGCGCATCCACACACACACACACACACACACACACACACACACACAGCAGAACCTCTGACCTCCTGCTTAGCGTAGTCGAGTTTGTAGGCTCTCTTCACGGTTGGGTCAAAGATGGTCTGTGGTGTCCACAGTTTGATCTGCATGATGCCCATATTGACCCAGAACACTCCGGAACACACCAGCGGGTCAGAACCTTGGACTCTGCCTTGGATGTATTGATGCAGACAGGTGAGAAGCAACCCCAGCAGGTCTTCCGGGAGTAGGCCTGGAGGTAAAGCGTCTCTGAGGACAGTCTGGATCTCCTCTGCAGCAATCTGAGGATTAGCATCGTCCACCAGGCTCCTGCAGCTCTTCAGGTAGCTCTCCTCCAGGTTGGACGGTAGCAGGTTGGTCATACTCTGGAGCTGCAAAAGCAGGACCATTCCCTGAAGCCTCAGGTCTGTGGCCCTGGAGACGTACAAGGTTAGTGAATACACACACATGTCCAGGTGCCCTCAGGAAGAGACACCAAACACCGTGTAGTGTGGAGAAGTGTTATGATCATATGTAATCCTAAATTTAGTTGCCGTGACACGTATGTGGTAATCCTAAGACTTGTATGGGCTGATATGGGTTTGCAGCTATGCTTATGAAACGTGAAGGGTCTCAAAGGGAAGTGAGATGGGTCCCAACAACCCCAGACAAGATAGATGGGTAGCAGTCGGGGCCCCAAGAACAGCTTCTATTCTGAGCTGCAGGGTGGGATGGGAGAGAGATGTCTGTCTGTTGCCAGGGAAACGGCGAGGGAGTTAGTTTCATGGTTTGACTGATTTTGGGAGAGTCTCATCTGACGGTCCGGACACCTAGGGAGAGAACATGTTGTTTGAATTGCTACGGGTCAGGAGCGTAGCACTTCTCCCCTCTGCACAAGGGGAAATAAAGCTTTGGATGATTCTACTTTGACGGGCGTGGCTCCTCTCTCTCTATCTGCTCAGAGGACCGCTGGACTGGAAGGTGGAAAAAGACAAAGTCTGATTTCCAACATCACCACAGAAAACCAAGATAGGTAGATCGTTTTCCCCCCAACAGTAGTTTGAGAGAGCGAGACCAGGTGTATCTGTGGTCTTCAGCTGCTGCTTCCATGTGGAGTTCCTCTAGGTTCCCTATTGGGCCCAGGCCCATTGCTGCCTTTGGGCTCCAGCTCCTCTGATTCGCTGTTTGGGCTTTTTGAGTAAAAACCCTCCAACAAGGCCAACAGAAATCCTCCAGTTTGACAGAAACAACCTGATTCAGCTGATCGATGGAAAAAATAAACTTTGCATGACTCCTTTGAAGAGGTGCTTCACTCATATTCATCTCCGGTGGTCGGTCCTACGAATGCATGCCTTGTAAGCCTGTTTGAGGATGCAGAGGTCAGCCGGGGGAGAAAGTATCTTCAGACGACAGGATCAACCATACCATTTTATTCATCCAGCGCATTTAAACAGCACGTGAGCTGACCAATGCACTGCAGGTTTCCTGATACTTGGACAACTGTCCTCTGATTGGACAGCAAAAATGGGACTCCTCCACTGACTCCGTTTGCTCTGCAGCATTGATGTTTTAAAAGTCAATAGTTTCACCGTCTGTTTTCTATCAGAAGCTAACGCAGGAGACAGGTGTAGGAGACTATTTTCATGTTCAGCCTGCATGAAAAAACCCATTATATTCAGAAATAAGTGAAAAATGGTTTCTCAGTGAAGGACCTCTTCAAGAAGACCTGGAGTCCACCTGTGGACATTAGCTTCTTGCCCTGTAATATGTCGCTGTTTATCCTGTACTTGTTATTATAACTGAAACAATACTTTTAATCTGGTTTATTATTTGATCTAGGTTTTGTTTTTTACAATTTCTACTCATTAATGATCAAAATAACGTCTAAAGCAGTTGAGTTCCTACAGATGGAGAACAGCTAGAAAACAAATCTTAACGGAGGAACATGTGAGATCAGCAGAACGACCCGGCTCTGATCCCTGGATCAGAACCATGGTTCAACAACAACCAGGATCTTTAATAGCTGATGAAAAATGCTGATGAGGTGAACGGTGTTGTTGTACCTGAACTCAACCAGAGCAGGGGCGGCCATGTTGTCCCACAACACAGCAGAGACATCCTGCAGCTGCAGGACTCTCTCTTTCCACGCCCCGAGCCCAACGTGGCTCAAAGAGAAGACGGATTCTTCCTCAGGACCCCGTCCACCAGCCCCGCCGCTGCTTAGAACACCCAGCATGCAATGGGACCACACCGCTTTAGTCAACATGGCTGGACCCTGCGAACAGCATTCACACATAAACAGAAGGGCCAAACAGGGACGTGTTGACTAGCAGGAGGAGACAGTACCATGTTATTCAACCCAGAGGACAGCTTTGGACCAGGACGAGGTTCTGGACCCGAAGGGTCCCATCTGAGCCAGCGGTCAGGATCTGAAGAGACACTACAGGTCCACAGGGCAGTCAGGGTCTCCGCCAGCAGCTCACACCAGACTGAAGTGGTGTCCTCAGACAGCTGGAGTACAGAGACAAGCAGCGTTCAGGTTTAAAGGCGTGAAGCACTCGTTCCATCGGTGCGTCTGCAGCGGTCTCTAGTAGGAATGAATGCCTTGTCAGGTATACCGGTGCACCTTTTCCAGGAACCAGCAGTGAGCCACACTCACAGCTACGCTTCAGACGACAGGACCTGGAGTCTTATTTCCTGATACGTGCACATCTCTTCTCTGATTGGCTAGCAGCAACACGACTCTACCACTGACTCGGTTTGCTCTGCCACGCTGATGTGTCATCTCCACTAACAACACAAGCCGGGAGGGGTTCTGCTGTGTGGTGGAGTTGCTAATGCTAACAGTTAGCTTCTAGGCTTTTAAACCAAAGATTCACAATTCAGCTCCGTGCCATTCTTACAGATGACCTCTTGACCTTTCCGGCCACTGCACTAGCCGAGACGTTCTCTACCGTTTCCTGGACGCTAAACCAACACCAGCCTTCCCCGTCATGAGTCCAGATGAGTGCATGAATGTTAGTGACAGGGTGATGTAGAGCTGTCAGGATTTTCTCATCCTAGAGATTCACCGTCTGTTTTCTATCAGAAGCTACTGCAGGAGATCGGTGTAGGAGACTATTCTCATGTTCAGCCTGCATGAAACACTCAGAGTGACCCTTTAGGATCAGAAATAATCATAAAAAACTAGGTTTTCAGTGTTCCACACCTTTAATCATACTTGCCTAAAAGCCTTTTTGAGTTTCTGTAAGCTGTTGGCAGCTGGCCAGGGAGACATGATGAGTTAATCCCGACAAGTGCAGCTGTTATTACGGATTACTTACAAGCCATTTCTACTTGTTCATATCTTTTAAATTCCACCAGTCAGAACATTACTTGGACGAGGATAAATGGTGGGTTAGCTAACTCTGGAGCTACTTGCCTGCGCTGCTGCGTTAGCTCGCTGCAGACGCAGCAACTTCAGAAACTCACTGATGTGAACAGCGACTACGTTCCTCTTTGGGTTTTTAAGAGAAAACCGGACAAGCCTCCAGCCGGCTGAGAGGGAAGTCTGTCAGGAATAAGGAAATGTTCATCTGGAATCAGTCAACAGGTTTATTGTGTAGCCAGGTCACCTGGGACCAAACTCGCTAACTCTGTCTGTTTGTGCCCAGATTCCAGTTAGTTGGTCTAAAATCCAACCCAAAGGCTCTCTGCTGGGGAAGTCCCCCATTCCCACCGTCACTCTGGGACGGAGCTTAGAAGAAAGCTGTCTCAGAGAGAAAGCTTCTGCGTCTCCAGGAACTGCCACCACTCACCTGCTCACTTCCCTGCAGGAAGAACAGGGACCTGAGGAGCTCAGCGTTCACTGGAGTGTTCTGCAGGCAGAAGCTGAGATGTCTGGAGAGCTGCTGGTGTAGGAAAGCCTCAGCCTCCTGGTCCCTGAGGAGATACACAGAACATTCACCAGGATGAAGAACAACGTGGGTGTTGTGTTCTACCTGAGGAGGAAGCGGCTTCTTACCCAGGAGAAAGGGCCTGGAGAAGCAGGTCTGAAGTCAGTCTCAGCTGGTTGAGGACAGCAAGTTCCTCCATCAGGGGCCAGAGCTGGAGCAGCTCCCCTCGGATCACCGGGATGCCACCCGCTGCTTCGTCCTCCTCCTCGGGTCTGGAGCAGACCTCCAGCAGTCCTTTGGAGGTCAGGAGAGACTGCTGCGTCTCCACGGCGGACAGAAGCTCCTGCAGCACCCCTGAAGACATTGGACTGGATGATGACATCACACCTGAGACGAGCCATGTTCAGCCATGATCGGGTTTGGGCTTGAGGGAGCAGGTGGACCTCACGCTGAGCTGGACTTATACTTCTCCATCTGCGTCGGCGCAGATGCTCTCCGACGGGCTCGCGGAGGGTGACGCAGAGACATGCCCAAAATCTTACACACCCGTCCGAGGTCACGGAGACCGAAAGCTTGTGATTGGTCAGGACGCCGCTTCCTGTGTATTCACCACCAGCACCGCTGTAGCTCAGTTAAAGTAAACAGATATTTATGGCAGACCCAGAACGAATCCAACAACATGAACGTTTAATCCCTCGTGAAGGATTACAAAACACGGAGCAAACGTGGGTTTGGAGGTGACGACCGCATGAAGAGATGGAGGAAAATGAAGGACAAACGTGTCCGTGTGATAAAGTCTATAAACACGTTAGTAAATAAGCTATCGGGGAGCGGAAACACGAGTGTTACGGTGGCAGGACGCCCTCTGCTGTCCTGGCAGGGAACTGCTCTGCAGCGCCTGAACAGAAGCCGGCGCCTGTCCGACGCTCCGTTGTGGAGCTCACGCTGAAGTATAAACCAGCCTTCACATGTAACAGCTGACCGGACCGCTGCAGGACGGAGGCCCTCAGGGGCCGCTTTAACACAACCAGCTGGTGTTGAAGGTCAGAGGTCAGAACTCACCGGTGAGCTGTGGGTCCAGCTGGTTGTTGGCTACCCGGACCAGACTCCATCCTTTAAGAAGGTTCTGTTTGATGTCAGAGCCGAGCCCAGCCGCCTGAAGTCCAATCAGCTCTAGCCTCCGACGACCCGATGACCCGTCCATCACCACATGGTTCACATCAAGTGCCTGACTCAAGAGTCTGAGGCGAGCGGCGCACCCAGCCACCGACTCCAGCTGATGAAGAGGAGGATGAAGGTGCGGTTAGATGACTGACCTAAAACCCCGTGGCTGGAGTGTAAAGGCTTGTGCAGGTGCTTCCACACCTTAAAGGGCAGAACTTTGCCCAGACGCTTCTGGATCCCTTTGAGAGCAGAGGCCAGAGATGGCGGGCTACACAGAACACCCTGAACCGCTGCTGAGACCGCCTGCAGCTCCTGGTGACCTCTGAGGAACAGAACCGTCCAGAGAAACATTCAGCAGGACATCTGAAACACATCTCAAGAAGAAACCACCTGATGCACCGGCATGACCCAGCGCAGCCCCGCTCACGCTACAGGCGGGCTAGTTAGGACCAGTTCTCCACTGGCATCAGCGATGAAGCTCAGGAGGAAACCCAACAACAATCATGTCAAATCCTCTTGAGACTCTCTACTTCCCAAGCCTTGTGTGATGGTGCGGAGGGCGGTGCTTACTGAAAGTGGGCGGGGTTCTCCAGAAGCAGCTGAGGGAGGTGGAGGAGGAGGTGTTTTTGCACCCACTGCCAGTGCAGAGAGAGAACAGGAACACTGTGGGAATCAGCCGGCAGCACGCTGCTCACGTCCCACAGACGATCACACCACTGCAGCAGCTCCAGGATCTGGTCCCAGAGAGACAGGACATCAGGTCTTCTAGAGGAGTTACCAGCCCACAGAGGTTCATTTATGAATACGTTCCAACATGCAAACCGAGTTAATCCCATACTGCTGTGGGACATGAGATGGTGGTCCTACTGGGGTCAGAAGAAAACCATCTCCTAGGAGATGTTTGTGGATGCAGAACGTTTACACTGCAGCAACATCAGAGTAGTTGAGAGCTGGATAATAAATCCATGTCGTCTGTTAGGATCTCGGCTGATTCAGATCCACAGGGGAGATGTTGCCCCCACATTCCCACAGCTGTAGTCAACAACCAGCTCTTAGGAGAAACACAACCTATAACCCTCCCACTGTCCTCATGGGGGTGACCCCGCCAGGAAAGGTGACCAGTGAGCAGGACTGATGGGTCCATGTGGCGGGGGTGAGGAGTGAGCACCACCTCACCCCTGCCACGTGGACCCAAGGGATAAATCATCAGTCCTGCTCACTGGTCACCTTTCCTGGCGGGGTCACCCCCATGAGGACAGTGGGAGGGTTAAGGAGTCCTACTAGATCTGGCAACAGCAGGTGTGACGATGGCAGTCTCACACGACTCTTGTTAAAAACACCAAGTGATGAAGGAAAAGTCCTGACCTCAAACAAGATGGGATCTGGAATCCGGCGTTCTTCGGTCTGAACTGCCTGGAGAACAAATTCCTCCCACAGGTCAAAGAAGGTCCGCAGGTGCATCAGGACTGGGTGGGGCAGGTGACTCATATCTGTGGTTCCTGTAGGGGGCCAGGGAGTGTTTTTGTTCCAACGACATGTCAAGTGTAGATTATTACGCTACCACTGTATGACCCAAAGCGTGTACCTCTGCTGAAGGCTGTGGCTACGCTCAGAGCAGAGTTCTGGGGGACCATGCTGATGGAACCAGAGCAGATGACTGCCCTCTCCTTTCTGTTGATCATCAAGGTGATTCTGCCACACAAACCAAGTCATGCCACACAGTTAAACGATGCATTTACACGTCACTAACATGCTGTATTGACCTGTACCCTGGAACTAAAGCTGAAGTACTGAATCTGAAGATAAAGTGACCCTTAACCTGGCCTGTCCACCAGGGAAGACATGTCTGAGGGCAGAGGATTCAGACCGTAATAATCTAGAAAACACTTCATGGTGGAGATCAGACAGGTCTGAGGCTCAGACCTGAGAACCTCTGCACCAGGAGACTAGACTTGCTGTCAGAAAGTCACTTGCAGTGAGATAACAGGCAGAGGGGCACCTCAGGGCTGTGTACTCAGTCCTTTACACTTAGCTCTGACGATCCGAATAGATGATAAACCACCAGTTTGCTGGAGTGGAGACAAAATCCATTTAATTCAACAAAAGGTCTGGTGACTCTCGATACAAGGTCATCTCCACTTAACCAAGGTTTCTCTAGTGGACTCTCAAAAGGCAAGGCAGCTTTATTTATGTAATACATTTCATACACAGAAGCAAGTCGATGTTCTTTATAAACCAGACACCTGAACAAGAATGCAAAGATGGCATTTCATGCACATAAAAACAGCAGCATGGTGCTGCTGTTGAACATCAGACCTCCTACCTGTTGGCTACTGCATTCATCACCTCCACAAACTCCGAGTATCCCTCGTCATTCTTAAAGCTGCACTTGTTGGCTAAGATCTCCAGGTACTGTTGATTCCAGCGCATGTCCAGGAGAGTCCTGAACTCATCTGAAAACATCCAATCATCACTTATGACAGAAAAAAGCACACCCTGACGCAGATGAGAACATTTGATCTTCATTAGAACTAGACAGCACCAACAAACATCAACAGCTAAGATAAGCTAAATTAAGATAAGTTAGGTTAAGCTAACTGGGTGGACGAATGAATCGGTGGATGGATGAATAGGTGGAAGGTTGAATGGATGATGGATGGATGGATGGATAATAGATGAATGATGGAAGGAAGGATGGATGAATGAATGGATGAATGGATAACAGATGAATGATGGAAGGATGGATGGATGAATGAATGGATGAATGGATAACAGATGAATGATGGAAGGATGGATGGACGGATAATAGATGAATGATGGAAGGAAGGATGGATGAATGGATGAATGGATAACAGATGAATGATGGAAGGATGGATGGATAATAGATGAATGATGGAAGGATGGATGGATGAATGAATGGATGAATGGATAACAGATGAATGATGGAAGGATGGATGGATGAATGAATGGATGAATGGATAACAGATGAATGATGGAAGGATGGATGGATGGATAATAGATGAATGATGGAAGGAAGGATGGATGAATGAATGGATGAATGGATAACAGATGAATGATGGAAGGAAGGATGGATGAATGAATGGATGAATGGATAACAGATGAATGATGGATGAATGGATGGATGATGGGTGATGGATAGATAATGGATGAAAGTTGGATAAATGATAGTTATTGGATGAATGGATGTATGAATGGATAATAGATGAATGATGGATGGATGGATGATGGATGAATGGATAACAAATGAATGATAGTTATTGAATGGATGGATGTATGAATTGATAACAGATGAATGATGGATAAATGATGGCTTTTGGGAGGATGGATGACTGATGAATGGATGAAGGAAAGCGGGTGAATGGGTGGGTTGTATATATCAGAGCTGTGAGTGCTGCAGCAGTAACGCCGGTGCCGTCTGACAGTGACGTGTTTATACTAACAGACATTTTCTGAATAAATTCGTCATTCTCAAGGTTTCCTACCGAGGCTGGAGCGGTGCTGCAGGAAAGTGTAGAAGGAAAAAGGAACTAAGTGACAGATGGAACGTATACCTGCGCCGTCAGACTGGAGACACCCCATCAGTGATTTAGCCTTTGCAGCTAGCTTGCTGCTAAATATGGCCTTTAGGGCGCTATTTCCTGCCTCCAGTTGGACCAGAGCTGCATCTGAAACAACAGCAGCAATGTACAAATGACTCCAATAACTTATGATGATCGTGCATTGATGAGGTCTGAGGTCAGTAAGCTGGTGGTGCTGTAGGTGTCCATAGAGCAACCTACCAGGTGCAGATCTGTAGCTCTTCCCCAGGTGTGAGAGCCAGCTGCTGCGAAGGACCCAGTCTCCGTGAGAGGCTTTCTCCGTCACCAGTCTCACAGCTGTGGGGATCAGACTCAGAGCATCCCTACCCTCCACGTCCACCCCGCCACCACAAAACACCAGGTCCTCGTGGACAGCACGGCCCTGCAAGGCTCGCTGCAGGTCCTCCAGCCTCAGCGGACGACTCCTGCACAAACACAACTTCTGCTTCACCTCAAGATCAAAGGCTCAGGACTCCATTAGCAATCAGATTAGATTAAGACAACCCCATGTTATAAAATAAACTTGCAAAGCTGAACTCAGGGCAGTTGCCTTGATGCTCCGCCACCGATTGCTATTTGGTTTACTCGTCTGCTTACTGCCTCCTGTCTCCCTCTAGCGGCAGGAAATGGGGTTATTGATAAATATATTGATAAAATCCCTAACAGAAGCTGATGATGTTGTTAAAGAATATGTTGTCAAACAGAACCCAATGCTGGCTCATAAGGAACAAATCCAGTGAAATGGTGTTGGTCATAAACACTTGCAACTGTGAGCCTCGGCCAACCAATACCAGCAACTGTAGCAACCGATACCAGCAACTGTAGCAGCTGTAGCAACCGATACCAGCAACCGTAGCAACCGATACCAGCAACTGTAGCAACCGATACCAGCAACTGTAGCAACCGATACCAGCAACTGTGGCAACCGATACCAGCAACTGTATCAACCGATACCAGCAACTGTATCAACCGATACCAGCAACTGTAGCAACCGATGCCAGCAACTGTAGCAACCGATACCAGCAACTGTAGCAACCGATACCAGCAACTGTAGCAACCGATACCAGCAACCGTAGCAACCGATACCAGCAACCGTGGCAACCGATACCAGCAACTGTATCAACCGATGCCAGCAACTGTAGCAACCGATACTAGCAACTGTTGCAACCGATACCAGCAACCGTGGCAGCCGATACCAGCAACTGTATCAACCGATACCAGCAACTGAGGCAACCGATACCAGCAACTGTAGCAACCGATACCAGCAACTGTATCAACCGATACCAGCAACTGTATCAACCGATACCAGCAACTGAGGCAACCGATACCAGCAACTGTATCAACCGATGCCAGCAACTGTAGCAACCGATACTAGCAACTGTATCAACCGATACCAGCAACCGTGGCAGCCGATACCAGCAACTGTATCAACCGATACCAGCAACTGAGGCAACCGATACCAGCAACTGTAGCAACCGATACCAGCAACTGTATCAACCGATACCAGCAACTGTATCAACCGATACCAGCAACCGTGGCAGCCGATACCAGCAACTGTATCAACCGATGCCAGCAACTGTAGCAACCGATACTAGCAACTGTTGCAACCGATACCAGCAACCGTGGCAGCCGATACCAGCAACTGTATCAACCGATACCAGCAACTGAGGCAACCGATACCAGCAACTGTAGCAACCGATACCAGCAACTGTATCAACCGATACCAGCAACTGTATCAACCGATACCAGCAACTGAGGCAACCGATACCAGCAACTGTATCAACCGATACCAGCAACTGAGGCAACCGATACCAGCAACTGTAGCAACCGATACCATCAACTGTGGCAACCGATACCAGCAACTGTATCAACCGATACCAGCAACTGTATCAACCGATACCAGCAACTGTGGCAACCGATGCCAGCAACTGTATCAACCGATACCAGCAACTGTATCAACCGATACCAGCAACCGTAGCAACCGATGCCAGCAACTGTAACAACCGATACCAGCAACCGTTGCAACCGGCGGCCAAAAATACATATTTATAGGTATACATGGATAAACTTGCAAACGTTATCACTCATGTGTAGTTTGGGTTTTCACAGCATCTGCCTGCATTCCTTCGTGGGGGTTTAGGTGCTTGCAGCTCAAGGCTACCAGGGCGTCAGATTCAGACAATCCATAGAGCTGATGGAGAGTATAAACTAGACTTAAAGTCTCTTTCCACAGTATTTCTCTCATCTGATGGCACCATCTAGTGGCTGACAAGCTTTTCACACAAATCTTTCTGTTTTTTTAAGAAGGCGACTTCACGTTTCTTGTTTATTTAGGTCTTTCTGTGGCGACAAACAGCTAAAACACGTTGTTTTACAAGTATTATTCTCATGTCATGTTGTGTTCTCATAAATTTTAGACTTACTTGTCCGTGAAAAGTTCATCAACTCTGCGTCAGCCGAGGTATTCCTTAAATCTGAAGCATGTAAGCGGAGGTCTAACGCTATTGGTTAGTTCTGGTCAGCGCTCAGTTTCCTACTGCACGGAGCTCTGCGGGGCGCGGGCGTGCTTAGCAAAAAAAAAACTATTGCTAACATTACATCGCAGTTTATGATAAGATAATCGCTTTGACGGATTTCTGAAGCATCGTACATCATTTCTGAAAGGGAAAACTCCAGAAAGATACTTTATTATATAATATACGTTATCTGGAATCGTAGGAAGTCCAAGAAAGATCCCGCCTTTCTCGCCTCTGATTGGATAGAAGGCTCTATTACAATTCCACTCACCCTGCAGTTTACAGGTTAGCATGTGCAGCGCCGAACGTTTACACAGAACATGTCTGAAGTGTGGAAGTACTTTACACTCGAAACACCGCAATGCAAGACAGCAATGTTTGCAACGCCGTTGTTCCGACGGGTGAAACATCCGTAGCAACTTTCAACACCGAGATATCTTTATTTCTCATTGCATCCTTACACACACACACACACACACACACACACACACACACACACACACACACACACACCTCTAGATCTTCCCCTTCTCCCCTCCTACTGAGCGCAGTACATAACAACACACTCCAGTGAGATCTGGGCTTTACTGAGACACACCCGCGGCCTCAGTGCACACCACATCATCAACGGATAGGTTTACTGCCGACGACATGTCGGAACAACCACTAGCAGATGCACTTCCCATGAAAGCCAGATGCCAGATGCTCAAGCTTGGACCTGATTGAGAGTGAGCGTGCACACCTCTGGTTTCTATACCAAACTCTGCAGAGCCATCGGGCGGCAGGGGAATCCATTGAGACCCATCTCCTAAACCTGACCGTAACCATGCTGTTCTATTCCCAACGCCAAACCAAACCAAACCTCTAAACCCAGCAAAATGTCCACACACTACAGGTTAAACGTTAACATTTGTGCACTTAAGCATATAAAACACACACACACACACACACACACACACACACACACACACACACACACACACACACACACACACACACACACACACCGTCTTACCTTTTGCCCTGCAGGCTGAGGGAGTTGAGGCAGAAGGAGAGGACCTGTCCATCTCTGAGGACGGACGACAAGCAGGAATCTTCTACAGAGAGAAGGGCTGATGGGACACCATCGGGCCAAACCCCTGCACACAGCAGTCCACCGTACCCGTCCTTGTTGTCCAGGATGGACAAGTGCTGCTCAACCAGCTGCTGGGCTTGCTGACGGAGAGGGAACACAGCGTCGGTTAAACGTCTTCAGTGAAGAACGATTAGAAAGACAATAAAGTCTCAAAGGTTAGTTGTAGTTTTGGAAAAGAACATTTGAATAGATGTGAAAGGTTTGGTGTTCCCCTCCTGCAGTCTGAGGGGACCAGTCCTCATCTATGATTGAGAGACCAGAACACCAATCCAGCTTCCTGTGAGCCGTATGAACGCTGAGGTCTACCTAAGCTCCTGGGGGGGGGGGGGGGGGCGGGGGGGGGGGGGCGGGGGGCGGGAGGAGGTGCTGAACAGGACATAAAACGTAGGGTTAGGTTATGTAAACCCCGGTTTTTTGATAACAGAGGGAGGTGTTTCACTATGGGAATCGCCCTGGCGTGACCAACTACAGAAGCTCCAATGACATCACGTCTGTCCCTGACAGACCGGTTGTGCCGTGCCCAGGCTCCGCCCACCCAGTATATCCACTGCCAATTGGAAAGATTTCTTATCGTTATAGAAGAAGGGAACTGTTGGAGAAACATCTCACGCTGTTATCAAAGAACCGGGGTCTACATAACGTAACCCTACGTTCTTTTTCTAACTTCGTTCGGTGTTAGGGTTACTGTGGGAGATATGGCCCACTCCCGGATTGCATGTCCATCCCAAAGCAAGCTGCAGCACTAGGCAGACGCTGTGCATCCTGCCTCCAGCACTTACTCAGCGCAAATCCAGACAGCGCTGGGACTGCGTTCGGCAACATAGCCTCACGATACGCCTGGGAACAGTTAAGCAGCTAGCCAAAGGAAGCCTGAAAATCGCGGAGGGAGCAAAGTGTAGTTCCTCACGGGAAGAAAGCGAGAATGAGTAGGAAGGGTTGGTTGGCCGTGGATGTACTGGGTGGGCGGAGCCTGGGAACGGCACAACTGGTCTGTCAGGGACAGACGTGATGTCATTGGAGCGTCCGTAGTTGGTCACGCCAGGGCGATTCCCCGTAGTGAAACACCGAGCGAAGTTAGAAAAAGAACCAGGGACCTCATTTATCAAGCTAGCTTACGCACAAAACGGGGTCGGAAAACTGCGTAAGCAACTTTCCACGCAAACTTTGGGATTTATGAAGGAAAACGTAGCGGAAAAATGTGTCAACTTTAAGTTGACTAAGGACCTGGCTTACACACATGCTGGACATGGAGAGCACCTGCAGTGCTGCTGCTGAGATGATACAGTTATGAAATCCTGCAGCGTTATCACTTCTACACACACACACACACACACACACGCGCACACACACACACACACACACACACACACACACACACACACACACACACACACACACACACACACACACACACACACACACACACACACACACACACACACACACACACACACACACACACACACACAGCCTGAAGTGCAGAACATCATGCGTGTGTGACAGTGTGTGTCCTGTCACTGTGACCCGGTTGATCATGCGCCCTGGCTAGTTAAACCGGGGAGATCTCCGTTTGGCTGACTGGTTAGCGTGCGTGACTTTCACCCGGGAGTCTGGGGATCGAATCCTGATTGGACCTTTTTTTATATCCGCCACAGATCTCTCTGAAGAAGTCAGCATTGACGGCTTCAGCAACGCTGTGCCACTCCGTGGATTTTCTCTTGTTTGTTTTGCAAAAGTACTTCCTGTCATTTCTCCACCTCACCCACAGGTACCTCAACTTCTGCTTGTGTGAAATAGCGCTTCCTTGATCTGCCTTGATCTACGGTCGCCATGTCATTGGTGGAGCGCTGCAACAAGCTGGCTTATGTATATGCATGAGATCCACAATTTATGGCAGTAAGTGGGCGTGGTGAGGGCGGGATGTGACTAAAAAGCAGCTGAGAACCTTTCTAGTTAGTCTCTGATTTATGAAGCGGAGGCTGCGTGCAGCTGTGCGTCCTCCATGTTTGATAGATCATAAACCTACTTGGCGTACGTACTTTTCTTCTGCTGAGCTTAAGTACGGTTTTAGTAAGGATTCTACGCCATGTTTGATAAATGAGACCCCAGAGCAGCAATAAAAACAACATACTGAATACAGAAGTTCCTGCTGCTGGATCTTCTACAAACAGAAAAAGAAACTATCTCTGCTTCTGACTTTGAGTCCTGAGAATGACAGGAAGTGTTTCCTTAAACACAGCCACATGGTCTAACACTAACCAGCCAGACGTGTCGTTTTCTGGTACCTTCTGAGCAGCGGCGGTGCGCTGGCAGGTGGAGTAAGCCTCGTCACAGGCGTGCCGCAGGGCGCTGCGTAAATCTGCACCTCTCTGTAGTTGGCAGGACGTCAGGGTGGCAGCGTGGAGGAGGGACGCCACGGAGGAGGCGGGGGAGTCTGAGGAGATGCGGACAGTTCCAGATTAAAGCTGCAGAAGAGCAGCAGAACCGTTATCTTCATGATGCCGACGCTCTTTCACCCCAGATGGCAGATTTGATGTCGTTATGAATTTGAATGAGGAGGTTGCACACGCAGTCCCCGGTCACCCCAGCCGTGTGTAGGAGGGTCTTCAGGTCCAGCAGGTCCCAGCAGACCCCCTCTTGTTCCCCTGGAATATAGACTTCAACCCCCCGGTTCCTCATGGCTCTGGAGAGCTCCCCGTGGACCGGGTCCATGGTCAGGAACAGCCTGCACAGACCCAGAAAGACGATAGAACCCACTCGTCTAAAACCCAAACCAGTCAGGTTCCCACCCTAGAGCACCCTAGAGGAGATAATACTCAGACCTAATGTGGAGGATGTGAGCTCAGAGGTCACATGACCAACCTGAAGTTAGGGTGCGGGATGATTTGAGGGACCTTCCCATCTATCACACCACGTTCTCCGATGGTGAGGGATCCATTAGGCTCCAGCAGAGCGTTGAGCCGATCCAGAACCGAAGTGCTAAACACAATCAGGGTCGGGTCAGGTTAGCCACGCCTTTAAACGGTTTGACTTCATGATGTTTACAGAAGCTGAAACGCTTCTGAGACTGCATATCTGATCTGATCAGACTGAAGTAACACAAACACACAAACAGGCTTTGATCATCTTCTCTGAACGGCTCCACCCTGGAAAAGCCCGGAAACAACGAGGTGAGATGGGCCACATCAGGCTTACAGATCCCCGCTGCCGGGGCCCCATCCTCCTCGTGACGACTGTCCAGAGGGGACAGATCAGACGTCTGCAGCACCGTGTCCTCAGTGTCTGTTAGTGACTCTGGGGCTGAGGAGCAGCTTCCTGTGCTGCACCGCGCCGGCGGTCCACCTGTCAGCTGTTCCTGTGCTGCACCGCGCCGGCGGACCACCTGTCAGCTGTTCCTGTGCTGCTGCCTGATGCTACACCTCAGGATGACGATGGTCTGGCTCTTAGATTTGTTGGTAGGATTCAAGAAAACTGAAGGAATCGATGTTTTCACCATTATCATCGCTAGCCGTTAGCTTAGCATCACCTGTGGGAGGAAGACCCATTCCAGAGCCTCACCTGCAGAAGTTGACGTTGTCCATCAGCAGCCAGTGTCCAGCCTGCAGGGCCTGAACCAGCATACCGTCCAGCCACTCGAAGCTCCCGTTGGTGGCGCTGTCCTCCAGCTGGGACACACGCTTCTTCAGCAGCAGGAAGTCGGTCTGCAGCTTGGACAGGTCTGGAGGAAAACCCAGATGTCAGAACACCAACAGGTTGTGACTGGTAGTGCTCATGGAGCGGACGGGCTGCGGTCGTTACCGGTGAACACTCGGAGCTTGGTGTTGAGCTTCTGCAGCAGCAGGAGGACAACCTGCAGCCTGTCCAACGCCTCTGATGTCACCGTTACTCCGCCCCTCTGTAGCGTCCTCTCCTTCAACCAGTGGGAAAACACTCCCCAGGTGTGCAGCAGGAACTCCGTGTCCTGGATATCCAGGGACATCAGTCCCTGTCTCATCACCATGGCAACAACGTGGTCCGTGCTCTCCAGCACCTGCTGCCATGGACGCATGATGTCCAGCTGTGTTGAGGAACAAACGGGGTGAAGCGGTTAGTTGGACCATAGGTGATGCTGAAAACCCACCACTGCTTACCTGCTCAAAGCCTCCGAGGAGCTCCGTGGTGTCCATGGAGCTGTTCATGCCCATCACCCTGAGCCGGTGTCCCGTCAGCAGGGACAGCAGTCTCACCAGGCTGGTTTTTCCGCTCGCCGTGGGCCCGACCAGGATGGTCATCCAGCCCATCTGCACACACTTCATCAGCGACTCCAGAGGAGACAAACACTGGTGTGTTACGGAGAGCTGAGGGTCCGGAGACACAGGGGCCCCTGCATCCCGACGCAGCACAGAGAAGCCCACCTACAGCAGCACCACACACACCAGCTGGGATTACAGACGAGCCGGTCCTGAAACAGAGGTTTCAGTGTCGGGACTGACCTGGACACTGATGGGCGTGATCTGGAAGTGTCTGGAGCCACAGTAGGGCTCGTAGCGCTGCCCAAACACCTCCCTGAACACCAGCAGCACCTGTGATGGACGGGAGGACATGGACGGGTCAACAACACGGGTCAGAGCTCCTCTGGGCCAGGATGAATGACATCAGCATGCCAGCATGGGGCCGGGGCGGAGCACCTTGGCCTTGTCGGCCACACTCCTCATTCTGTCGGCATACACCAGAGAAACGTGCTGGCCTGGATCGAAGCCTCCTTCTGATTGGTCGCTCTGCATCAGCTGACACCAGCGGAACAAATCCCTCAGGTTGAATTCCCACGGGCCTCCTTTGTGTCCCCACCTCCTCTCCACACACACCTCCTGAACAAGCTGTGGACACACGGGGACTCGTTAGGACCGGCGTGGTTCCGTCCCGCTGTCCCAAGGCGCTAGTCGGGACGCGTTTCAGACCACGGACACAGAGAGAACGGACTCGTACGAGGGTGGACGTGTCAGCCGGGACCAACAGGACTTACCCTGGTACTGAACTCCACCATCTTAGAGATGATTTTCTTATCGATGCGGGGGAAAA